AGCATAATTTAAAAATGTCTGCAAAAAATGCTGCAACAAACTGCTGTAAGAGTATAACCAGGAAGCGCGGTAGGAGGGCAAAATAGGTTTAGCGGCATTGCAGCACGGGAGGAAGAATTACGCCCAGGAGCAAATGGATAAAAATAGACCGGAGGGAAAAAAAAACATTAATCGATTATCTTGCGGACGTGTCGATGCATCGGATCGTCGGCTTTTGGATCGATGCATCGATACAAAACGATTATTATTTACACCCCTAGTACCCAATCTGCTACTATTTTCTCTCCTCTCTAAAACATCCCTGCAGGAGCTCAATTGTCATATGAAATTGATCATCACACCCGCAGCCATAAAGACATTGACCCCCAAAAATGAATCATTGGACCAAACTCTACAGTCACATCCACCGTCCCCATCTTTGGGTGCACTACCACTTGTTGTCAGGAGACGGTGCTTTTATTCATTTTGCTTTGGCTGGGATTTATCAGTGTTTTTGTTTCTTTCCTTTATTTCATCCATTTTGTCAATAAATGTAAGAAGTGTGGACAAACATTCATCCTCTAGTGATTTTACAACTTCACTTTCAATAAACTGAAAGACCAACCTTCTCAATTTATGGGGTAAGTCTTTTTTAGTCTCTGTTATGATAACACCAAGGGTAGCACAGACATAATTTAAGTCTGGTCCGGACAGCGTCAGTAACTTTTCCTCTATCTCCTAAAAAGCAATTTACCAAGCAGGGGAAATAGTTTTAGTATCACCGGGCATCGTGACCACTTTTAGTCCTTCCGGAACTTAAGGTATCTCGCTTGAAGTATTAGCATTCAAGGCTATCAGAGTGGGTAATAGGCGTCTTTTTGGCTGCGTCACTCACGTTCTCGTCTCTATTTGTTCCGTGGTGAAAAAAACAATCAACTAGGTGAAAACACCAATTTTATGTTGCAATCCCGAAGCAAAAAGGACTCCGTCTTCGCTTTTGTCAACTTTATTTGCCCCACGCTGCACGTTTTTCTTTCTTTTCTGATTGTTCTCTCTGGAGCAGCCGAGCATTGACACGCAGATAAAACCATCACACTCTAGCCTTGTTCTTCATGATTGTGACTTATGACTTGCTTGATTATAATTAACAAAAGAATTGACTTGACTTTGACTTGCCTTTCCTGATCTGCAAATTCACTTGACTTGAGTCATGGGACTTGCCAAGTCACTGCAATCAGTTTATTATATTATCATTATTAGCAAATAAATATACAGAAATACAGTAGATATATTTAAACCTCACAAAGTCCTCCTTTATAAAACACGCACCAAATAAGGAAAAGAAAATAAGACCAGATATGAATCTTCGCTTTTGCAACCACTGTTACACTTGGTGAAAACCCTTCTGCTACATAACACAAGAGTTTCAATCCCTCAAAATGTTATACAAAAGTGTTTATTACAGAGTTGAATTTTTGTTAAACAATTTTGTCTAATTTTGTTTATTTTTGTCTGATCCTTCCACAGCCTTGTCTGGCATCATCTCCAAACTTGGACTGGATAACTATTATCCCGGCAAGCTCACCCTTCAATTGTTGCTGGAGATCAACAAGGACAGTATATCTGAAAGCACGGTGTCATCACTGAAGGACATTCCATGGTATTTTCTTAAAAACCTTTTTAAGATCAATGCTGAATGCCGAAGCTGTTTTCAATTACAAGCCACAGAGGAACAAAATGAAGAAAATACTTTTTTGGAACTGGACCGACTCACATCAGATGAGAATGACAATAAGGTTAATGTTCTTGACCTTATAGTAGCACTTTTTCTTTGTGCCGACAGTTTCTTACAGCAAGAATTGGCTCTCAGAATGTCGATGTGTCAGTTTTCTGTCCCACTGTTGTTGCCTCAAAGCAATAACAGTCAGTGCTGCCTGATGATTTGGGCTCTGAGTAGCATTGTTAAAGAGTGGTGTCCTCATAGTTTGTCTGAATCAAAAGGTTTTGTTGAGAAAATCCTTCTACAAGCAAATATTCCCCTTTTTTCTTTTATCAGGCTAAAAAACTGCAGTTTATCAAAGTCCCAGATGTTAAATCACGTCCTTAGTCGTGGTCAGCAAAATCACAATATCTTTATCCACAGAGATATGGAGGGAGGAGCAATAAAAAGAGAAATATCAAATGGACTGGTGGAGATTACCTGGTATCTTCCTAGCGGGAAAGAAAATATTGACGTTTTTCCAGAGCCAGTTGCCTTTGCCAATCTGAGAGGAGACATAAGTCAGTCACTTGCACAGTTCCATTTTCTTGTACAAGTTTCAACATCTATCTTTGTGTTTCTGGACAAGGTAGAGGAAAAAGAGCAGGACATTTTAAATTCTCTCAGAGATTTGGGTGGAAAATTGTTCTTGGTTTTTAATCATATGGAGGACAAAGACACACAGGACATACTGTCTGTCAAAAAAACTATTGAAAGACTAGGCCTTCCCCCCAAAAGAGTGATTATCAAAAAGAAAGGGCTGAATGGAGTAGAGTTTGCGAAGAAACTTAGTGCAATTGCCAAGACCTCTTTGGAGAATATATCAGTCACAGCTGATACAAAAACTATGCAAGAAAAAGCTGTTGAGCTTGGTCTGATGGTGGATGAATGCAGAAATGAAAAGCAAAGAATGGCGGCTGAAGAGATCATAAAAGAAATCGCGCAACAAAGTATCCCTGAGTACAAGAAGACGCAAATACCTTTGCAAGGGGAAAACTGGAAAAAAATATCAAAGTTAGAGAAGGAGCTGTGTAGACCGGGTAAAGGTGAAGAAGATTATATTTCTAGGCTACAAGAGGAAGAAAAAAAAATCAAAACAGAACAAGCAAAATGCACATTATCAAAAGGAATCCAGTGTTTCATTGACAATATCTCCACAAGTAAAAATGAAAAACGAGATTTTTTTTTGACGTGGTTGAAACTGAAGCTTGACACACACTCACGAGAAAAACTCTCTGATCTAAGAAATCAATTCAAAGAGAAATGCAAGACAAAAGATGTAAAACTCATTAAAAAGTTGGATCAAGCTCTGATGGAGAGCTCTTTGGGAATCGAGCATTACATGAGAGAGATCGGACTCATTTTTGAATTTATGCCGAAAAACACATCCCATCTCCCTCGTATAGCTGCTGAAATGGTGATGGAGGGATATCCTCTAGAGCTTCTAGATGGTGATGCTTCCAACATCCCAGAAAAGTGGGTGTCAGCTGTATTAAACGAGGTCCATAACAAAGTTGGAAAAAGCAGCAGATTGTTGGTATTAACAGTTTTGGGTGTTCAAAGTTCTGGAAAGTCAACACTCCTGAACACCATGTTTGGTGTTCAGTTTCCGGTCAGCAGTGGCAGATGTACAAGAGGAGTCTACATGATCTTTCTCAAGGTTAAAAAAGATTTTAGAAGTGAGTTGAATTATGATTTCATAGTCCTCATTGATACAGAAGGTCTAAAGTCTCCTCAAATGGCTCAACTTGAAGACAGTTACGAACATGACAACCAGCTGGCAACCTTTGTCATCGGTTTAAGTGACATTGTCATTATCAATATAGCAATGGAAAATGTAACTGAAATGAAAGATATTTTACAAATTGCAGTCCATGCATTCTTGAGAATGACTCACATTGGAAAAAAGTCTGTGTGTCATTTTGTTCACCAAAATGTTGCTGGAGTTTCAGCTCATTCTAAATGCATGACTGAAAGAAAACACCTCCTAGAGCAGCTGAATGAAATGACCCAGATTGCATCTGAAATGGAAAAACAACCAACTAATAAACTGTTCACAGATGTGCTGGATTATGACATGGAAAAAAACAACTGGAACATTCCAGGACTCTGGCACGGCACTCCACCAATGGCTCCAGTCAACACTGGTTACAGTGAAGCTGTTGCTGATTTCAAGAAAAATCTTTTGGAGACCATAAAGAACAACAACAGCAGTGAACCCACTCAAATCCCAGATTTTCTAGAATGGATTAGAAGTCTGTGGAGGACAGTTAAATATGAGAACTTTATCTTTAGTTTCAGAAACACACTTGTGGCTCAGGCTTATGACAACCTGTGTAAAGCCTTTAATGACTGGGATTGGGAATTCAGAAAAGAGATTAACTCTTGCCAGAACAAAATAGAAATGGAAATATTAAACACTGACAGTGATTCCCAAGTGCAAAGTTGGAGTAAACAAGTATCAGAAAAAAAGAAAGAACTGTCTAATAAAATACAAACAGAGCAAATGAAGATGACAGACCAACTCTATGAGTACTATAAGAGAACGGACAAACGTGTGAATCTGATAGAGAAATACAAAGTGCAATTTCTGAACAGTATCAAAGGCCTTGCCAACGAAATAGAACAGGCAGTAACAACTAAACTGGACTCTGTCCTTGAACTAAAAAAAGGTAGAAAGAAAGCTGAAGAAATACAGACAAAACACAGAGACTTGATTGAAGACAATGTGATGAGGCTTCTAAATGATTGCAAAATGTCAAACCTGTCTGATGTTCAGCTGACAGAGGAGTTTGAGAAGATGTGGTCAGAAACTACAGCAAATGTGTCTGGGTTAGAAGAAAGAGACATAGCTGGATGTGTCCTCACACAACTGAGGAAACATTTTTCTAATCGAAATTTTAGTCAGGAATTGCAGAGTGTGGACTTGAATAAACAAGGGAGAGAACAATTCAAAATTAAAAAAGAATATGCTGACAGTTATTTTTCTAAATTTATGGTAGCAATAAATCTTAACAAATCCCTGCAAACCTTTACAGATTCTGTCCTTGAATCCTGTACACATTTTTTAAGAGATACAGTAGATACAAATGAGGACTATAATGACTCTTTTACAAAAGATCTACTAGAAAACATTGACAAGCTCCTTCAACAAAACAAGAAGGATTATAGGTTAAATCCAAAGTATGAGCTTGACTTAAAGCTTCACATCTGTGGCATTGCTTCAAGGGAATTCCTGAAAATGCACCAAAAGTTTCTGTCAAACCTCAGTCCTCAAATCCAGTTAGAGAAGTACAAGCCTGGATATTTGCAAGACTTTGTTGATTTATATAAGAACAGAGATGACTGCCAACGCAAAGCTAATGACTACATGCAGCTTTGTATCAAACCAGCAGTGGAAGACTTCATTAACAGATCCCTGGGAATAGCCATTGTGGATGAGATCTTAATGAGCCATCATTCAGCAGAGTACAGCTCTCGCTCATTTTTCCAATACAATATTCAAAAAGAGCTGCTGCTAAAGGATGACTTTGACAGTTTCAGAAAGTACATCAAAATGTATGAAACATTTGTCAAGCAATGGATATATCAGCACATCAAGCAACAGATTGAGCAAAATAAAACACTTTCAAAACTTAAGTCCAGGAAACTGAAAATCATATTTGATAAAATTGCAGAAGGAATAGAGACAGTATCAAAAACACCAGGTGGTGTTCCTCTGCCAGATGACAAGGAAAGCACAAAAGAGCTAATCAAAAACCTGAGAAACTTTTTGGTTAAAGACATCTCAATCCCAGTTGAAGCAGAAAAATTTATCTTTTTTAAAATCCAAAGTACAAGCCATCCATTTATCAACAGTCTCAACATGGCATTGGAGAACCTGACAACCCAGATGCAGGAGGAATATCAAAAAGCTGAAGGTTTTACTGAAACATTAAGAAAGCTTACAGTTAAACCACAGGATGAGCTCTTTAAGCGTGTTTTTGGATGTGGGCATCAGTGTCCATTTTGTGAAACACCATGTGAAGCTGGAGGCAAAGACCACAAGCTGCACAGTGCAGCTATACATCGCCCAAGAGGTCTAAGTGGATATCATAATGTCTACCATAAGAAGTTAAAAAACTCGCCGTGTACAACTGCTGTCCAAAGCAACAGTACATTTAGAAATGGAGACACTCAATGGAAGTTTCATCCTTACAAGGAATATACCACATATTATCCAAACTGGCACATTCCACCAGACTCCACCATTGAAGCATCAGACTACTGGAAGTACGTCCTGGTGAGATATAATGCTCAATTTGCAGAACAATATGGAGTCGAACCAGCAGCTGTCCCGGATGCCTGGAAGGGAATCTCTCAGGAACAAGCTCTAAAAGGATTAAAAGATGCTTTCAATATAAAATGACAGAGGTTTCTGTAATTTCGAAAAAGTGACATTTTAGATCTCAGAACTTCATATCTAAATGTAGACAGAAAACTACAAAATGAAATCCGCTATTAGAAAAGTACAGAAGAATATACAAAAACGTATGTTTTTAAATATCTCGAACCTTTATGTCAGATTTAAACTTTTTTAAGAAAAGATTTTTTTTACTATAAAAAGGAGTTTTGTTAACCCGTTTTTACCATAATTCATTTTATATATTTTTAAAAAACAAAATGTTTCATATGGTTTAATAGAACTAGAGTTTGTATTGTTACAAGAATAGATAGATATCAGAAGAAAAAGAAAAACATTTTTTGTCTTCAAATCTACAGTTTGAATTTTTGTTCATTTTAGAATTTATAAAATTGAGATTTCTTTCTTAAATTTTTTATTAGCTTTGTTTTTGGGCAAATACAGGATTTTGTTTTTCAAACAGTAATAATTTTTTCCTTCGCTTTTCCATACAATCTTATTTTTCATTTATTTTCTTGCTGTAAATGAAATATACAGAAAATGTCATTGCCAAAATGAGTGTCATTCTTCAAGCAAACTTTACTGTGATGATGGTTACCTCCACCAGGGAGGTTTTCATTTTCATTGCAGTTGGTTTGTCTTTTTCCAAAATAACGGAAAAAGTAAGTGATGGATTTTAATTAAATCTATTTCAGAGGTGAACCTCATGCCAAGGAACAATCCATTACATTTTAGAGATTTTCTGGATACAGAGATTTTTTAAAAGATTCTTTAACATTGTGAATTATTTAGCTTCCCCCTAAACCAGCAGCAGTGACTACAGAGAGCTTCAGCATCAGACTTGAATCCTCCGGTCATGTTTTACAGAAGAAAAAAAAAACATTTGAGAAGGGGGTGTTGTTGGTTTGTTACAGGATCAATTTAAAACTTCTGAACTTGTTTTAAGGATATTCTTTTGGCAGAGGTCCGCCTCGTGCAAAGGAATAATTCAATTAAATTGGATAATGATCCAAATCATGTGCAAATTTAGTTATAGGTATAAGTCACAACTTGGGGAAAAGCTTGCTGCTACTCTCTGAGTGCTCCTATAGTGAGTAAAAAATATTAGCAAATCAGATATACATCTGTTTTAAAGATTTGAAATAAAAACCTACAATGTTATTTTTGTTTTATGACCTTTTTAATAAGCTGTTTTTCTTCAAATGTTTTACTTTACTGTTGTTAAAAATAAAGGTCTAAGCTTTATTAAACAAAAACTTGAGATTAGTTTTCTTCATTCAAACATCATTTATTAATCCTTGCAAGGGAGAAACGACAGTCTGTCCAATGTTTCTGTCTGTTCTGATTTAGAAATTTTTTTTTTTCTATCTAACTTAAAGGCTGCAGAAAACTGTGAAGATCTTTATATACAGTTAATCAAAACAAGTTGCAGACAGTTGAATAAAACCGTAAAATGTTGATTAAACCTCCATTCTGAAGAAGTCTGGCCTCTGTTCCAAACAGACCCTAATAGTACAAAATAACTGCTTTCACCGTGACGCTGTGTAAAATGTATGTGTTTAAATGCAAATGGTGTCAAACCTTTTTTTTCCCCTCTCACAATAATCTTAAAACCCCAATCAAGAACAAAAAATAAGTTTAAGGTAAAATAAAAATTTAAACTCTGCTGAAAAATCTAATTTTCCTGAGGATGTGGTTGTTTTATTTGTGTCTCATTGTACAATAATTGTTAGCATATAGAAGATGTGTTGGGGATTAAATATAAATTAACCAACATATATTTATATATAACTTTTACATCTTCTTTAAATATGTGTAGCGTTGAGCAGGTAATTTATTGATTTTTTCAAAAAAACAAGATATATCATACTGAAATTACAGTTTTATCATTGTTGATGTGTAGAGCATATAGAAATATGTACTTCTCTTTACAATGCTAAAATTATAAGCACGAGTATAAAACGATTCTGCATCAATATGAATAGTAGGTTAAACTTCTTGGTGTTACATTTCTCAGATTCAAGCTAAAAAAAAAAAAAAGTTAAATAAGTGGGAAAACTACACATTGTGTTTGTTTGGAACAATAATTATCAACATGCCTTTTGGAATCTGTAGTAGTTTTTCTCCATCACCAGAGGGCCCTCACACACAAGCTCTAGTAATTAATGGTTTTGATTGGAAGAAAATGCAGCATTCTGTACCTGTGAGCTCTGTGTTTTTTTTCTTCTTATTAGATAACCTAACAAAATGAGAAATCCATTATCACGTTTTTTGATTGGCTTTCTTTCTTGTTTTTTTATTCACCTTCAGAGACATTTAGAACAAATGTAGTTGTTTTCAGCAAACATGTCAAAAAACATAACATTGTTGTTGTTTTTTTATTTAATATGAATGAATGGAATTGAACTGAAACAAGCTACTTATTTATTTTCTTCTTAAACTCAATTACATTTT